TATGACTTCATATTAACTGATATTTCATCTTAAGCACTTTCACGTTAAACATATTTCACTGTACTTGAAATCCAGATAACTGGAGTTGTATTACATATTAAAACTAATCTAATTCAAAACTTTTTACCAGGAAAAATCTTGGTATTTTTAATTTATTTACTTTCCTGCATTTTTAGCATAATTCCAATGCATATTTCAAGTTTTTTTCAAATAATATCAACAACAAATTCAAACTTAAGTGTTATGGCTACATCATTTTTCTGTGCATTTTTCATACAGAAATATATTATGTTAGTAATACAGAAAATGTAGATTATGAACTTTTTCAAGAACTCCAACAGAAATATCACTCATTTGTTAAAATGTGCCCATTTTAATTAAAACATTATACTGTAAAAATATAAATATTGTACAGAAATTACATTAGCATTTATATACTAAAAAATGGTTCATTCACTGACATAGGTATTTAATCTATCTATCAAATAAATAAAATACCGAATAATACTAACTGAACCAGTAAATTGAAATGACACATGTAATTTTGGTACATACATCTTATGTGCTCTATTCTAACAGCTTATTTGGTATCAAAACAAAAAAGTAATAACTTGCAGGCATGCTGTTTCAAAACTGTAGACTACCACGTCTTTTTCTCTACATCTTATGTAAATGTGACAACTTCCCACAGCATCAAGCATCCATAATAGAAAGCAATACTTTCCTATTGGGAAAGTAGCTATTGCTTTCCTATTGGGCTGAACCCTCTGATATTTGCCAGATGAATGATGCCATAAGAAACCAGCGATAGATGCATACTTCTGTACACTAGTTCAGTGACACACAAGATACTGCATCGAGATGTTGTTTGTCACTCTGATACAGTGAAATGAATTCTGACACGGAGTCCGAGTTCTTGTTTGTACACAAGGTTAGTAGTGCTTATTTTTATTTATATACAAACTGACACCTTTCTTTATGTCTGTCTTAGCTAGTTTGCATTTTAAGTGCTTAAACAGCTCCAATTTGTATTGATATTATACGTGTCAGTTTTACCATTCCCAGTCAAAGGACAAATACCAGTACATTCATTAAGCAAGGCTATTTTGGGCCCCTCACAAAGTGTGCAAGCAGTGTGTCTAGAGTTTACATAAGTGGATGAAGGGAACACATTTTAAATTTTCACTAGATACACCTCTGATTTGGTTAGAGCTCACTCAAATGACTATTCCTCTTTTATAGTGACTTTTCAAATGACTATTACTTTACCTCAGGATATAAAAAGAAAAACAAATGCAAAATACAGTATCCTAGTTTACCATCAGCTATATGCCCAGTGCCAGTTTTCAAACAATTACCCTCTTTGGAAATGCAGAAATACGATTCTGATGAATACCGAATTGACCCCAGCAATGAAGATTTTGAAACTGATGATGATTCCAATCTTAAGACATTTGATCAGCATGAGTTAAATGATTTGGCACGGGATTTGGGACTATCGAAAAAAGCTTCAGTGGTGTTAGCATCAAGACTGCACAAGAAAAATTTGCTTGAAAAAGGAACTAAGGTATCGTACTTTCGATCAAGAGAAGGCGCGTTTCTGCAATACTTTTGAAGTGATAATGGATTTTATATTGCCACAACATACATGGTTTAATGGAAGAAATGGGAATTTCAGCCTATAGTGCAACTCAATGGCAAATGTTCATTGATAGTTCAATGCAGTCTGTCCTCCTCCACAATGGACATTTATTTGATGCAGTCTCAATGGTCTGTTTGTTTGTGTGAAGAATATGAAGACATAAAGAGAGTCATTGATGTTCTGCAATATCACATGCACCCATGGATCATCTGTGCTGACCTTAAAATGTTCTGCAATATCACATGCACCCATGGATCTGTGCTGACCTTAAAATATTCTGCTTCTTTCTTGGGCAGCAATGCAGATATACCAAGTATACCTGTTGCTTGTGTATATGGGATAGCAGAGCTTGTGAGAAGCATTTGGTGCAGTTAAATTGGCCACCAAGATCTGATCTGAAATCTGGTGATCCAATCATTCTACATCAGCCACACGCCGACAAAGAGAGCATTATATTTCCCCCTCATATGAAAATTCTCATAAAGCAATTTGTTAAAGCTTTGCTAATTGAAGAAGACAGTTTCAAGTATCTCATTTCAGCATTTTCTAGCCTGTCATTAAAGGCTGGTGCTTTTGATAGTCCACATATTTGGCAACATTTCATTGGAACAATGACAGAACTTCAAAAGAACGTTCGATTGGCATTAAAAAACATTATCAAAGACTTTCTTGGAAATACATGAGCACAGAATTATAACCAAATCGTCCAGCAACTTTTGGACAGCTTCAAAATGCTTGGTTGCAACATGAGCATCAAATTGCATCTTGATAACCTCCCGGAAAAATCTTGGTGCATTTAGTCATGAGCAGGGTGAGAGATTCCATCAAGATCTGAAGGTTATGGAGGCACGGTACCAAGGTAGATAGGATGTACAATGATGGCTGACTATTGTTGGAGTATCAAGCAAGAATGTCTGTCAATCAAACACTCCAGAAAAGGCATAAGTGAAACTTTTTACCTTAATATGTATGTTTACTGTTTGGTAAAAAGCAATTTACTATTTGTATGAACAAAATTTAACTTGCAGTAACTACATACAGCCTTTGTATGAACAAAATTTAACTTGCAATAACTACATACAGCCTTTGTATGAATAAAACTATTTTTTGTAAACAGTATAATTGATCAATCTTCCTTTTATTTCCTTTTATATGTATATTTTGCATCACTTTCGAGACAAAGATAGTGTACCTAGTAGCTTAAAAGGTTGAAGTGATAGACAAAACCTGGGTTAGTTTTGGATTCAGATGCCAAAAATTAGTCAAAACAAGCGACAGATCTAAGACAATGAAACCGCTGTTTCCCAGTGTAATTAAAAGGAAACTATGAACATTTTTTACAACCCCACAGTATTCTTAAAAATATGCTTGTGACAGAAAATTGTGTAGTAACACTGTAATCAAATAGTAACAAAGGGAGCAACAAATGTATTTAAAGAAAGCTAGATCACATTTTCTACAAACAATATGTAGTAGAATGTAATGGGTCATTAAGAAAGTTCTACAGAAAGTTTCGAGAAGCAGTACAAAAACAGAAGTTGAATTTAACAATGAATTAACATTTCATTGAATCACACCAGTACCATTTTGTTTTATCACTATTTTCCTTTTCTCTGGCACCTGTAAAATTCCTTTTGTATAGAAGTTAATAAATTTCTTTGTAAAGAATTTATCAAACTGCTGTATGGCAGGTTATCAAAGTGCCGTATGATAAGCTCCATAAAAGCAAACTAAAGGCAATTAAAAAAATACTGAAATAACTTGAAGAGATGATGAATCTGAGGAAGCAAGGCTTGACGAATATGGGAGTGACATACAATATCCCAGCCATACTCAGTAAGTCTCTATCCAACATTCATCAATATCTGGGACTGAGCATTGCCATGCTGGAAGACAACACCTCAATGATTGGTCAGTTCTGGATACTTTACTTTCATTTCTGTTTTTAAAACTGCTATTTGGGAACAATACTTTTTTGAATTTATTGTCTGATTTGGTGGCAACAATTCACAGTATTCAATTCCTTTGTAGTCCTACTATATTTAGTCCTACTATATCCAGCATTATTTTTTTGGATGCAGATCTTCTCTTAATGTTATTAAAAAAAAATGTTCTTCCTCATGAAGCCCACCAGCGGCTGAGCGGTAAAGTCGCTGAACACTGGTAGTTCGATCCGAGGTTCGAATCCCGCGAACGGGCTGGCTGCATGGGTGTTTTCGTGGTTTTCCCCATGTGTAACATGTATACAAGCCAGTTTCCCTTAGAAAGTCCTCCACGAAGGCATCCCTCCCCTTAGGCAGATAGCCTCGAGGCTTTGCCATAATTAAATAACCTAACCTCTTCCTCATGATTTTTTCTTATAATATTAATGTATAGCATCCACTTCTCTTCTCCAGTAAACAGCTATTAAAAAAAAATCTTTATTTCTTTTCAGCAAAGAATCGCAGAGTGAAACTTGAACAAGCATACTTTACTTTGTTATAGTACAGGCTACCAACACATTGTAGCAGCTGACGTACCTTATCATCTTCAAATGTTCGTGTACTATACTTTCTGGAATATGCAGTCTGTCTAATAGTTTTTGAGCCGTACAATATGAAATTTCAGTGATTTTGCAGTATCACTTGGGTCACATTGGTTTATTGTATCATCATAAAGTTTTTGATTAAGTTAAAAAGGAGTGGAAACATTAAGCCTCAATGAAATCCAAGGGTCAATGGCCAATTTTCTGTTTGTAAGATTCAATATGAATATATGTAAATAAATATTAATCTTATCGGGTGAGAGAAGTGAGATATCCTATCCCTAAATACTAGACATTTCAAGTTCTACTAATATGAGAGTCACTCTGAAATTTTTTAGATAAGCATAGGTTTTTAAAGTTATATTTACGAAGTTTTAGGAGTGTTCAAAGTAGTCTCCTCCAGCACCAGTGTACACCTGTAGGTGAATTTTCCAAAGATTAAATGCCTCAAGCCATTCATTTCTTGGAATCATTGAAAAAAATGCCTTCACAGCCTCAACAATCTGATCTTCAGAATGGAAATGATCTGTGCTTATGTATCAAATTAAATGAAATTCTGGATGTTGCTTAGTGGTGTACCAGTTAGCTGCAATTGCCTTCTATCCTTCCAGCTTTATAAGTTCTTTTTTTAAATAAAAAAAATAGCCAAGAGTCGTCAGGTGAATAGGATGGATATTCTATCACTTAGATGTGTTTTTATTCAAGAAACTCAACCGTCAGTCTTGCTGAATAAGAAGATGCATTTTCATGGTAGAGCATGAGTCTCCTAAAATTCACTTCTTGAAGAAATTCTGGATGATGCTTAGAGGTGTACCAGTTAGCTGCAATGGCCTTCTATCCTTCCAGCTTTATGGCTTTGACCAGTCCGGTACTTCTGAAGAAAACAACAGATATTACTTTTTCCATGCCACTTTGTCTTTTCATCATTGTGGGCATGGAATCATCTTCAAAGACCCATACTTTACTTTTCTTGACATGTTGGAACATTAAAAAATAGTATGTACATTTCAACACCAGTTACGATTTTAGAAATAATGTGGTGGCCAAAATCTTTAAATAATTTAAGGGTTTCTTTAATGATTTCGACACACTCCTCTTTTGATGCACAGTTAAATTACTAAGAACCCTATGGCAAACTAGTTTTTCCATATGCAATTCTTCATGAATAATTTTATGCATGGCAGTGGATCTAATGTTAAGTTTCTTCTGTATCACTTACTTGATAGGTGCAGCAAATATCATCGATTAACATTTTCCATATGGCAGACATATTATTCAGGATTACTGCCTTCTTGTGTGTTTTTCATCCTGAAGAAAGTTGTAACTTCTGTGAAATTCTGTAAACCATCTGAATACAGTAGTATGAGATGGACCTTCACTTCAATGCTAATTGTAGGTGTTGAATGTATTCTTCTCAATTTAATTGAACTTTAAAATTGTACAAAATCATACAGTGATCATGTTTTTGCATCAACTCCCTGTTTCCTTCTTCCTAAAATAAACTACTTGCAACAGACCAACAATAAATTGTCTGCTAGGCTAAAATAGTTCATAGTTTCAAATCTAACAGTTAATTTTTTCTGCCAGTTTTTGCCTGCACGTATCTCAAAAACTTTAGAGTAACCTACGTATGTTCTTGTTTACAGATAATCCTCCAGAGCGGGCATCATGAAATTTTTGCACTTGAACTCCTCAAACTAGCTTTGAACTGTGTCATCAGAAAGAGTACTTTGCCCATATACAACACAAATTTGAGCAGCCTGGCTAGCATTATTTCATTTTTAAAAAAATAAAAGAACATAAGATACTGAAAATGAGCTTTGGGATTCTCCATTCCTCCAGCATGTAAGCAGATAAAGTAAAATACATAATTTCTAAATAAATGCAAATAACACACTTAACATTAATCTTCATGTGGCACTATGAACAAAAATTAATCAAACTATCAGAAATATACATTAAAATCATATAAGAAATTTTTGTATGATTTAGTAAGAATCTATTTTTTTGAGAAAGTATTCTCCAGGATATAAAAAGCTATAAAATTCATACTTACTTGCACATCACATTCATCATAAAGTTGTTTATTGCTGACTAGATGTCTAAGGTAATGTTCTTCTACTCTATTCATATGTTTCAGAATGCATAAAACAACTGGTTTTACTTTAGGCACCTGAAAAAAATTTAAATCTTATATTGCTACAATAAAAAAATCTAAAAGGTCTTCCATATGATATTTTTTTTTAATTTAATACATAAGCACAGATCTAACTTGAAGAAGAAATGTTGCAAGGGGAAAAAATTTAAGGAATAAAACAGCACATTAACTACATACACACATGTACTGTACTATTTAAACAATAAGCTCTAATTTATGCACTACATATTTATCGAAATTGTCAGTAAAACATTAACAAATTAATTTTATAAAGCAATTATAAATAAATTAATAATAATAAAAGTACCTACACTGATTAAAACAAAACATTTTTGCAGAAGTTCTTTAAGTATCCTTTCTTTGTCTCGTGAATCTTGCTTGGATAGATTTTCTATTTGTGCTATTAACGTATCTTTTAATTCTTCTAAAACTGAAAGATGAAACTCTAGTCTTGGCACACCATGCCTATCAAGAAGGGGTAGCATAGGTCGAAGAGATGGTAAAAGGATTCCATTTTCAGTCTGGAAATCTTCAATAGCTTTTAATGGATCAGCACAGTTTGTGAGGGCTTCACGTAGATATTCTTTACCAGGAATCCCAACTTCTTCTAAGCCAGACATAGTTGAAAAATACTAGATTCAAAGCATTCACAGAATAAACTGCAAGAAATCATAACATTTTTAGTTACAGTCTTGTACAAACACAACATATATTGTCGGCTTTACAACTAAGTTACAGATCTGCATATTATGCCGTTTTCACTTACTTTTCTAGATTATTTTTTGATATTTTAGTTATTTTACAGAAGCTGTAACTTGATTTTCCCCCTCCAAAATGAAATATATCCCAAATGTTCAAACATGTTTTGGTACTTTGATTACCTACACTCTCTTGAACAGCATTCAGAAGGCAATATGCTATATTCCTTTAAATTCAATGGTTATTTTTTTATTAGTATTTGTTTTTGTTACATTCAAATCCTTTTTTTTTCCCCCCTTGTAAGAATCATAACGGAACTGTGGAGTTAGCTGGCTGATGGAAATGAGTGTTGCATTTCTACAGAAATATGGCATTTTGTCATAAAGTTATACCTTATTGAATTTGTGCAATTTTCTCATCTTTTTTAAGCTGTATGCATGGGAAAACAGCAGTGTGTGCAATGTGAAATTTGCACAATTCTCTCATGACTTTCGAGAAAAAAAAATTGCTATGAACATTAGAAAACAATAGTGTGTGCAATGCCAAGTTTCTGATATTCTCTCCGATTCATTTTTAAGCTAAAGCAAATTTCTATGGATATGGGAATAAAAGTAACTCCCCATGGAAAAAAAAAAAAACAATGTTTTATAATGGAGGTTTCTTACATATTTAATTTGCTAATTGACTATTTTATGTAATTCTTAGTATGATGCCATTTTAGGAAACCGCTGCTGTCTCTTACATCTTCGCGAAAAATTAGTTGTCAGTGGTCAGCAACTTTTCAAGAGAGGGTGCAGATAATCCTAAAGTACCCAAATTTTTTCAGATCAACAATTTTATTGATATGTAATTTGGCTCGAGGTCAGAGACAACTGTACGTAAAATATAAAATATTATTATTAAACTTAATTGGAACCAACTTACAATAGACCTTCAAATTCATAAATTTTAATTAAACTTAATTGGAACCAACTGGCAATAGACTTTCAAATTCATAAATTTTAATTAAACACATCCCCACTTCAAAGATGCACTTTGCACCATTTTGTGTCACCTGTGCCGCATGTTAGTCATTCGTTCACTGCAGTTTTTCTGCACTCCACCATCTTTAGCTCAATCGCTGCTCAGGGTTAACACAAAGACTTTCCGGCTATAAATAGTGACCAAAGGTAATATGTATTGCTTCTTCTCATTTATTGCTGCTTGAGTAAACCTCATCTCTTGTTTTGCCTTCTTTCTTCCTTGTCTGGAATGTAAAATACGTCATAATCAAAATTGTAGAAAGCATTTAGCGGTCCTGTTATTATACCACTTATAAGCAGATATATTTCTGAATAATTGTTCCTGTGAAAAATAAACATGATGTTTCCACCACCAAGCCAGTTGTGATTTTCGCAGTAGTCGTCATCTCTGTAACAATCTTCTTTGCCATGACTCAAGCATGCATTGTTTTCATCCCAAAACCACAACATCACAGAGAGTTTAAAACCTAGGTTTTAAACTTTTTAAATAGGTTTTAGGATGTCTAAAACCTATGTGGCTGATGCCAAAGGAAAAGTGTCTATAAGTTCATAAGTAAGTGAATACAGGATATCCCGAAAGCTTATCATCCAAGATGTGTTAATTTTGTATGCATTTTACCAGAGATAGAGCAAATGCAAAGTACATCAAGTGCTGTGTGAGAAATTTTTTATGTGCTTTGAATCAGTGACTAAAATTGCGCTTCTCGGCCATGACTCAAGCATGATTTGTTTTTCTTCTGCAAAAACTACAACAGCACATGCATATGCATACATTAAACTACAAACAGCTTCAGTGAATTTCATAAAAGTGTCTCACAATCAGTGAAAACAAATAGATAAATACAAGTATAAACTTGGCAATTCTGATCACAATCAGTTTATGAGTACGTGATAGATGGATTATCTGTTCTCTAAAATGGCAAAATATAGGGTTCAGTCCAACTGATAAGAGATTATTGAACTTATGTCACTGATAATTGGTATAGATTGCTTGAAGAGCAAAGTCTGTACAGCTTATATCCAGGGACGAAACCTCAAGGAATTTCAGACTGCAGAATGTACAAAACGTATGGATACAGATTCCAAAATTCCACTTTATCAGCATCCCATTAAGACTCCATTACATTGAAAGAAATATTTAATAAAGTAAACAAATAAATATTAAGCTTTGGCTAATCTTTGGAATATGGTAACAGGTAGTTTGGCGACATTTTGGTAAGGCGATAAAGGTTACTAGCTAGGACTTTAGCAGTGTACATGGATAAAGTCAAGAGTGTGCGCAATGCGCCATTTTGTGCAATTTTTGCGCTGGGATTTTTTTTTAAGTGAAAATAGGCTCGAAATGTACATGGATACCGTGTATGTGCAATTCTTAAAAACGCGGCAAGTAGCGGGCGATTCTGCACTTTGTCCTAATTTCGCACCTAATCTTCGTCATGATTAAGCACTTTTGTTCCATAAAAGTTCTAGCATAAGTGTAATTCGGCTAGCAGATTGTTGGAAAAAAATGTTGAGTTAAAAAAATATGCCTTTACTTCGTGAAAACAAAATGGAAATAAAAATAAAAAAAAAAAAAAAAAAAACTAGCAGGTTGCTATAGCAGGGTTGGTCACCAAATTTTTGCCAAGTTACCATAATCTGAAGATTAACCTAAGCTTTTTTTTTTTTTTTTTTTTTTTTTTTTTTTGGGTAAATTTTGATACCCTTTAGATCATAATTGATCTTTATTTCATAAATTACGGTTTCATATTTTTAATTGTATAATTTCTGCATGCCATCTTACCAGATTAAAATTGATTGTCTATAATCCAGAATTGCCGAAGTCGTGACGAGTCCGGATTACAGACTTTGTACTGTATAAAGTTGACCACTTTCATCCCTCTCCTGTTTAATTATATCTAATAGGAAAGTATATGCACATGCATGTTACAGGATTATCATTCACACAGGAAAATGAAATTCCCTGAATTTCCAAGTTTTCGAGCTGTGTTTTAAGAAAATTCCAGTCTAGCTGCATAATGTGTGTTGGCTGGGCTAAGGGCAAACTAATTATGGTACCACGTGAAAACACAATTATTTTTTAATAACATATGATAAAAAAACACTTTCTTTTCAATTTCCTAAGCACTAGTATTATAACTATAACAGGAGTTGTTTCAAATTAAGTTTTTGCCAAACTAAGAAAACTTGCTCTACAATATTTACAAACTAAACATTCTTTTCAGCAATCAGCTGTGTCAAAAAATTAGTCAAGTCCAGTTTTAAATTCCTATCTAAGGAAGTAATAAATAAAATCAGAAATGAAATTAATTGATTTTTCAATGCTATGCATAAACTTTTAAACACTGGATTTTTTCCACCTTTAATCGTGATAAAATGATGTCATGAATGACAGCTTTCTTGCTTTAAAAAGTATTATAAATAGCTAAAATACTATACAAAAGTAGGGTATTTATATACTTCAGTATTATTTAGTAAAATTATAATAACTGGAATGAAAGTTATTGCTTACAAAATGGCAATACGGAAGCATTTACATCTATCCTATTAAATAATACATAATTGACAAACAACCATCTCTCTAATATTATGACAGTTGTTAAATTCGAAAAAGTCAAAAAAGCTTTTTTTTTTTTTAATACAGAAGTCAACAAACGTTTGATGAAAATATAAGCATATATAATACAAATGGTTATCTTTACTGTATGGTACCCCTTGGTTCGTGTGTGAAAAAAGTTGCCTACTGGTACTGGTTGTTCGCGAAATCTGAAAGCTTGCTGCATGAAATAGATTTTTCGGCAACCCTAATGTTGATAATGTTGGCGAAACTAGCCTATGGGAAAACTGTGCGAATATAGACAAATGTGTTGTGATAAATTGAGCGTGAACGCATGCATGTGAAAAAAAAAGGGTATGTTAAAAAATTGACCTTTCACTTATTTATTTGTCTCTGTGTGTTTATTTTTGTTAAATTATGTTGGGAAATATCTATTTTTGGTTATTTGTTACTCTCTGTTAGAGTATTTTTGGTTATTTGTTCATCTCTGCACGTTGAGACAGTGGAGAAGTTTTTCTGGTTAACATGATAGTTTTAACTTCCTGATTTTGTTTAAGTGAAAATAGATTTATGTGTACATGGACAAAGTCAAGGTAGTTGCGCAATGCCTAGTTTGTGTAATTCTCTGATGTTTAAGTTAAAATAGGTTGATGTGTACATGGACACCGAGTCTGTATAAGTCTTTGACTTCTTGTTTTGGTTTTGCATAATGGGTGAAAGGATCGGCACCATCTTGAAATTGGTGCCGATCTTGGCATCAAAAAAGAGACGATTCACCAAGGATTACCGTAAATTTCAACCACACAAATTAATTGTAATTTTGGATTAGAGTTGAAGACAAATAAAAGACACTTAAAATATTTAAACAAAACATTATAGAAAAAATAATAATAAAAAATTAGCACAACTACATTTGCTGTTTTAATTTTACAATTTGCAAGTCATATGAAGAAACATCCCTGCTATATATTTTTTTTTGGACACCAAAATTTTAATCTGCTTGTGCTTCTTTTTGTCTGATGATTTTTTTTAAAATCTTCACATAGCATTTTGTCTTTGATTGCTTGATGACATGCACTATGAGCAGATCTTGCATATCAGGAGTTATATTAAATTTAACAAACATTCTCTATTCGTAAAAAGCGAATTAAAAGTTAATGAAATTTAATTGCAAACAATATAATGAGAATTATTGCTGCAAACTAATATATTATCATGGAATATGTTCCTTAAGAAAATGTATATATATTCATATTGTTATACGTCACATTCATTAGGAGTATGGATGCATGAGCATATTGTCATGATTACTAGAGAAATATAATTTTTAGCTAAATCTAAACCTGCATTTAACTTGCCTTTTGAAACTTTCAACGATATTTCCTGCATCGTGAACAGCAGTCAACTGAAGCTGCATATCAAATGAACGAATATGGGAGTACAACTGTATATAAAACTAAATGACATATTTCTATGTCTGAAGTAGCTTCATTAAATTTAAAAACAGCTCATATCAAAGTCAGTTTTACAGAAAAGCTCATGCAAGCTACACATCTGATATTAAATTAATTCATACAAATTTTTTTTTATCATCTACTCGGATGCAATGTATGTAAAATATGTCTTATTTCTTCAGGTTAACACATGCGGGCTATAGTTGTTTTCTTTTCAATTTTAAGCATAATAACAATTAATAAAATAAATATATAGCTCATCATAATTAATCTGAAACATGAGCCAACCTAGTCAATAAAATCATAAAATTAACAATAAACTCAAGATAGTGATCTAAGAATTTTAAAACTTTAAATTATTACTTAATTCATGGTACATAATTACCATCTTTTTAATTATAAACATACATTATTTACACCAGTCATATTTTTATAAATATATATTACTTTATTTCTACCACCCACATATCTGTAAGTATATATTAGCTTATTGACACTCACCACACATTTATAAGAATACAATGTTGCATAGAAACACTTAACATACAATGGTGAAATTAAAGCATCACATAGTAAATTATTGCTGTCACATTTTACAGACAGCAAAACTAACGTGAATTGCAAAATGTAACAGTATGTTTACATTTCACCAAACCAATCTACAGGAATTTTATATCTAAAGGTTGCAGCTATCTTTATTACATTTATGACAATTAAAACATAATACAAACTATTATTATCACAGCTTACGAATAGCAAAAATGCGTAGTCGAAATCGAAAACATACCTATTCCGAAATTTCTACTTTCACGTAATTCCTGCAATAAAGTTTTTAAGATGGATCTTTCATTCTGATTAAATCTAAAATAATGAACGAAAAAATGAAAATGGTGAGTATCAAAATAACATGCTTGATAAATCTGAAGTAATGACAAAATACAAGTCCCGTTTACAATTCTTCGCGCTTTTACAATAAAACGGTGTACACAAAATAGCAGGATTATCTCAATTAATTATTCCCTTGCTCGAGGTACAATATTTCCCTAATTCAAACAAATTTTAAATATAGTCCTCAAATAATACCAAATAATAAATTTTTGAAATTTCTTTTGCAAAAGGTAATTAAATATTTTCAAATCAATGTATTTAGGGTTGAACACGTCTCTTTCAAGGTACATGAAAATTTAGAATCGGGATAAGAATATTATGTGAGAGGGAAAAATGGGGTAATCTTTGTAAGTGGAATTTTTGAAGTGAAATGAGTATTGTTTTGGTTGGTTGCTTTCCACGCCGTGATGGTAATCAAATTATTTATTTATGAAATTTTTTGATTAATTTTTTGTATAAATTTATGTTCTGTTTGAAAAGTAAATCTGGTGCTTTCTAATTATCGGAACCCCCACAAAAAGTCTTCAGTACATTGGCGACTTTTAAATTATCAAAAAAAGTTTCTTGGTACATGTATATTTTAAAATAATAATTAAAAGAATTAATTTATAAGAAAACTAGAAATTTTGCGGAAAAAAGAAGAAATTCTATATGGCCGATATTTACTTTTTTATTTTATTACGTTTTCAACTATGGTCATCAAATTTTTCTCTAAATAATCATGTATCCGTAAATACTCAAACACGTGTGTGATATGCACGTGCAGAGGTTGACGTATTGCGGTGTGTTCACTCAAAAACAGGCAAAAAGCACGTTGATTCTACCGATTGTTGAAACAGGTGGTGCGGATAATCAGAAAATAATACAAATTTTTCAACCGATATGTGTCTATTCACAATATTTGTACATAGTAGCTGATGTTTTATTTCTTGTTAAGATTAAGCATGCAGAATCTGCACTGGAACATGGAAAGTTAGAGCAGAAAGAGCAAAAAGGAAGCACTTCCGCAGAGAACCCGGTAAATGTAAACATCGCCAACTTTGGCGATAATAGTTCAAACCTGGTAATCTATCGGATTTATTGTATTCGCTTGTTTGAAGGTTGAAACCATTCCTCTTGCGTTCATTTTGTTGAATTATCACTGTCGTTGTTCGCATTTCGAGATTTATATTCTTCTCATATTTATTATTATTTTTTTCAAATTTTCCACGTTATTTTTTCTGAATTTTTTAACAACGAATAGATAGAAATATTTTCGTATAATTAAAGAAGTTTTCGTTGATAGATGCCGGTTCTCGGCTCCAATTCTTGTGGCGTAAAATTTACTATATTGTTAATGCTTTTCTAACAACAGCCTTTCAGAGGATGGCAGGTGTGACATAAATAGCTGGTTAAATTGAAATAAAAAAATATTGATTATCTAAGATGACAGAATAGTTTGATGCATCACCATGGTCATCAAAATTAGCAAACCACTGCTGGTGTAAGGAATACAGTCAAAAGTCGTTAATTCGGACACCCATAATCCGGACCTCAAAGCTACAAACTTTCTGCGCATGCGTCGCGTTCACGCATGCGCAGAAATTTTTTTGTTTGTGCGCATGCGCGTTTAATGTGTAACGGAGGTATAAGCTAAGCTAAAAATTCAGTTAATGTTGCAGATTGCGTTGTTCCTTAATCTTCAAATTGGATCCGGCTTATTATTTTTTGCAGACTGTTAGAGCAATTTCATAAAAGTAAGCTTGAACTTTCGATTATGTCAAATAGAATTTCCGATATATATTTACTAATATGTAATTTGTATCTACAAAGCGAAAGTATGTTTTGAAATCCGAAATCTGTTTATCAATTTCACGCCGCGGATTGGAAGTTGATCTGTCAGCACTATCCTTATCTTCAGGGCAGATGTTTTATATTTTATTTGGCTTATAATTCCTTACTAAGTGTAGTATTTCATCTCGATGTACTCCGTCTTTGATATGATTTAAATCAAGTTCTTCGTCATTATAATTCGCTTCCGACAGTGAAGAAAGTGACCTAGAGGTTATTGAAAACGAAAACATTTCGATTGACAAATTAGTCGGTATTCTCGACACAGCAATTATAGGACTTGAACAGCAGAACTTTGTAACTAAACAAGAAATTATGTCTGTTTAATAGAATTAAAGAGAAAGTATTATCACATGAAACGAAGCAACTTACATTGAAAGAAATGTTTAATAAAGTAAACAAAAAAATATTAAGCCTTTTTCTTTTTGTAAATTTTGATGCCCTTTAGATCATAATTGTTCTTTATTTCATAAATTACGGTTTCATATTTTTAATTTTGTAATTTCTGCATGCCATCTTACCAGATTTAAACTGATGATCTATAATCCGGAATCGCCGAAGTCCCTACGAGTCCGGATTAACGACTTTTGACTGTATATTGTTTTCTATGGTAACTGGAATTTAAGACAAATTTTTTTCATTTAACCAGGTAATTTCAGTACATTAATACTAATTTATATTTTTTAAATGAATTTTTATTTCCGTTATAAATGTTTATATATTGTCTTATGCTTAATATATTCTTTTCTGTGCTAACTTGATCGTATATCACGTTAAACCGGTTAGTTTTACATCTACATGCTTATTATCTGTAAATTTTTACTACCATATGCTTAATATATTGTTTTGTCTGCTAAGTTGAATTTACATGCACTAAAAATCATGTTTACGGCTCGGCTCATCGTCATGAACCGCGAGCTTGGCGAGTAAAAATGCAACGGCGCCAACGGGTTCTCTGCGGATGAAAACCTAGCAAAAATGTTATCGTGTGCAAGGTGGCATGGCACTCTCCAGCCTAGTTATGCTACTGGTTTTTTAATTGAAGTTAAAAATAAACATAGATGGGTATTGAATTTTTATGTAGAGTTGAAAACATTGGTCCTTATAGAATAAACAAAAGCTCTGACTGCTATGCAGCATCAAAACAGAAACATTAAAATTTTCTGAAAGCTGAAACCCATTTCATCTTTCATATGGTATCAAAACAAATGTGATTGGGGTTTATTTCGAAACATCGGCTTTAGTAGTTGCTTATCAGCCTGACATTCTGTAGCACTCTGTGATGTGTCATTACCTGTATTTAAAACAATTCCTAATTATCTGCATTCCTTCCAAGATGTTGCAGAAAAGTCGTTATGAGGCAAAGCAATACAAACTTAATTGTCTCCGTGCACGATAGAAGCAAAATAAAATTTAATGGAACAACTTGTCATTAGTTGCCAAGCTCATGATGCATAGCCAAATATGTATAGTGAAGGATAACTAAATTTGATGATGATAGCCGCTAATTTTAAAGGCTGTCGGATATTGCAAAACAAAATTGAAATTTTCCAAATAACAGATTTTGTAAAGAAATATGGAGAAGTAGTAATAAATGAAAGTTGTATAAAAGAAGGTTTTCATTCTGATGACAATGCTTCTCAATTATCAATCAATTAATGAATAGCAAAATCTGTAGTAAGGTTCTAGATCCAGAAAATACCACTACCGATAGGGAAGAAAGTGACAGAGAAGTTACTGAAAATGAGAAAATTTCGTTTGAGAAGTTAGTCGGAATTCTCGAAACAGCAGTTATAGGACTTCAACAATGTAACTAAACAAAAGATTATTTCTGTCTACAGAATTAAAGAGAAAGTATTATCACAAAAATACGAAGCAACTTAAACAACTTACATTGAAAGAAATGTTTAATGCGAATAAATGATAAGCTTTTTTTTTTTGTAAATTTTTGGTACCCTTTAGATTATAAATACTTCATTACTTCATAAATCATAATTTCATATTTTTAATTTTATAATTTCTGCATTCCATCTTATTAGATTTCAACTGATGATTTAATATCCGGAATTGATGAGTACAGATTTCGGACTTTAAACTGTATGTCAAAAATAGGGTAAATTTAGCATTTGGAATTTTTTTGACAAACGGTTTTCAAGCCAAAGGCTGAGACACATATGTCCTAGCCATAGTTAGTTTACCATTAACTAGTTAATGATGGAATACATATGTCTCACACATAGTGATCGACTTACTATAAGTAAGCACACCTAATATTCAGATCACCTAATTTCACCTAATACATAACAAATTGGGCAATGGCGATCCCCAACATTCAGGAGATTCTCTAAGTACTTTTTAACCCAGCAGTAATTTTTAAACTTTTAGTGGGACATATATGTTCCATTAGTAGTCAAGGGGTTAAATTTGGCCTAAGGGTTTTGAATAACCCTGTATAATTTAGATTATGGAATTTTTCTTTTTATTTTAATATATAAATTATTTGTTGTAGTTAAGTTATATACAGTACTAAGTCCGTAATCCAGACTCGTCGGGACTTTGGCGATTCTGGATTAGGTGTTTTTCCAGATTATAGATCATCAATTTAAATCTGGTAAGATGGCATGCAGAAATTATACAATTAAAAATATGAAACTGTAATTTATGGAATAAAGAGCAATTATGATTTAAAGGTTATCAAAATTTACAAAAAAAAAAACACCTTAATATTTATTTGTTTACCTTATTAAACATTTCTTTCAATGTAAGTTGTTTCAGTTGCTTCGTTTTTTGTGCTAATACTTTCTCTTTAATTCTATAAACAGACATAATTTCTTGTTCAGTTGCAAAGTTCCACTGTTCAAGTCCTGTAATTGTTATGTCGAGAATACCGACTAACTTGTCAATCGAATTTTTCGTTTTCAATAATTTCTCTGTCACTCTCTATCAGAAGTATGGATACTTCTACACATATGTGTGTAGCAGACGCACGCATTACAAGTGCATGCGTAAGTTTGTGGCTTTGAGGTCCGGATAATGGACCTCCAGATTACGGATTTTGTACTGTATGTTAGATTATGAAATGACCATGGGTTTACATTTAAACCTTGAAATTAATTTATTTAAGCCAGGAAACTTGTTTTTAAACGTATTGCTCAAATTTTTCCATGTCATTGAAAAATCAGTGGTAAATGTATACGGAATACTGAACTTGAGCAACCAGCTATGTTTATGGTTACATGGAAACAATATTTGCAAAGTAGTAATTAGTTTTAATAGAATTTTTTTTTCCCTCTCTCCTAGGCTAAACCAAAATTTGCTGCTGTTAAGAAAACCATCAGTTTAACTGATAATCGAATGTAAGTAAAATTCTTTGTTGTCTTTTTTAACTTTAAAAATATCTGTTGCATTTGCAGTTCTAAGTGTCTGTTGCACAGGATGCAATATTCGATTGTTTATAGGTGTAGGCATTCAGATAATGGGGAACAAAATGTATTAAAAACACATGTGAACATGTTATTATGTGAATGAGCAAAAGGGACATGATAGGTCCACAAATAAGAATCTTATTGCTTGAATTGTGCAAGTCTCTGTGAATATATATTGAAAGTATAATTCTGAAATGATATTATGCAAATAAACATATTATTCAAATTTAAGTAGATTCGTTATATTATGGCATGAGGTTTATGACCTATGTAAGAAAATGATTCATTAAGTTGAACATAGACTTTTATGTTTAGCATATTTACAGATGCCAAAGCACATGAATCATTATGTGTGAGTTTCAGTTTGGAAAATGTGTTATTGAAGTTAATTATGTATTTCTGTTTGCAGCAAATAGCTTTGCTGAATGGCAGTACAGAGTTACCAACTCTCCCAATTTAGGTGAAAGACCCTCTGATTTCTGACCGTACTTCTACCAATCCGATTTCCAATATGTATGTTTTTATGCCTTTTGATTTTATGCAGCTTGGCCTAATACTTCATTATTTGCATTAAAAAAAGGTGATTTTGGGCATCTGAAAGTGCTTGTTTTTTCTCAAAATTACATATAAAAGAAAACTAAAGTTATTTCATCAAGAAGACATTATGGTACACTTCTGTTTTGTGTATGAGAACTCATGTGTTATTGTGTTCCAGTTCTTCAGTGAGGATCAAGTGCCACTGCGGGTCATCTTGTATACCTCAGTCAAGAAGCACAAAGCAGTAAGATCAAGGTTATTATCAAAAGGAATTGATAAAGTCATATTTCTTTCATCTCCTTGCTGAGCATTGTGAGTTTCGTGTGCTTTTGAGAGTTTTAAGAAGCTGGCTTTCTTTTATCTTAGTTCAATCTGGATAAAAGGTAAAATACTCATGTCCTTTTCAAAGATTGCAACACAGATGACTTTCCTTCTCTATTATTTCGTCAAGAAAATATAATAAGTTTGTAAGTGAATTGTATTGAAAATAATGAAAAATAAAATTGTTTTGTGGGAGCTAAGGACCAAAAAGTTATTAATGGAGAATGCCTGTTCTCTGTTTTTATTGAAGCACAATTTGTCACCTAATGTATCGGACCATTCTGCAGCTTTATTCAGAAGAATGTTTTCCGATGGCACAATTGCTGAGAAAGGGGGGAAAACAAAAATGGCTGCAATTTTTAAAGAAATAGGGGCATGAAAAATAAATGTTCAGTTATAGATTGTATTAAAACAGCTCAATTCTGCCTCTGTATAGATGGAAGCAATAATACTGAGGCAAAATTGTATAAAGTTGTTTCTTTCTTTAAACCAAAATCTTCAGAAATTAAGTGTAGTTTACTTTCTGTTCCCACTTTAGAAGGAGATTTTAATATAGCACAGCTAATTATTAAAACTTTATAAGAAAATGCAGTTTCTCTGAATAATTCCTTATCATTTGGTGTAGACAATGCACCAATAATGGCAAGCTTAAAGACTTGATGTTGCAGATATGTTAATAAAAAGAAATTCACATTTCTGAACTATCAGCTGCACCAGTCACATCTTAAATTTACCAGCTGAAGAAAGGGCAGCTCCTTTACCAATAAGTATGAATGAACACATTGGTGATATTTATTATTTTTTAAAAAAGAGTTCTAAAAGGAAGGAAAAATACAAACATTTTCATAGCTACATAATACTGAAATAAGAATAATTTTGAAACATGTATGTGCACCCTTGTTATCTTAGAGAAAAGTTTGTCTAGAATCCTTGATAAAGGGAACCTGTTTCTTAAATTTTATTTAAGGAAGTAGTAAATACTGCAGTGAAACAAAGATACAGTTGTTGATCTGGTTCATTGTGTTTCAGTGATTCCACTCTGAATAAACCAGATGTTCGCCATTCAATTTTAGGCAAGTTTTCAAGGTAAAAATTTTAAATTAATGTAGAATAAAGAGATCAGCACACATCCAAGAAAATAACATAGAAATTTCTTTTCAAACAATTCCTTTTATATCCTAAAAAAAATCTGGGAAATTTCTTTAAAAATTAAACTAAAATTGGACTGGTTTGTGTTGTACTGCCATCTAGTCTTAATAAAGAAGGTTCAGTGCAGAGAGAATATTTTCTGCCACAGTGTGCTCAGACTGGGCACACTGTGGCAGAAAGGGTTAAAGGGATTTTCTCCTTGTTCTTAACCATAAGATATTTGTCACACATCTGATCAACTGAATCTATCTTTAATGCAATTATATTTGTGAATGATATGTTTAACACAATTATAAAACTCTGTAACATTCATTCTATTACTTTCTGCATTTATGCCTATCATCCTCGTATGCTCACTGAATGAAGTAAAACTCTTTGTTTGGCCTTTGAAATAGAATTAATTTGCTATTAAAGTAGGATATAGATGCAACCATTTATTTGTAGGAGAAAATTGTTGAACTGAATAAACTGAAATGTTGGATATGGATTAATAAATCTTCTGACATCCATCTGTAACTTTGGTTAAAGAAATTGGCTTAGTTTTTTGGAAAGTATTTTTGATGACATAAAAACAGTATTCACAGAACGAATTAATCTTGCAAATTGTTATAATAAAACTGAAATGTAAAATTTTATTATTACATCTTCATCACTTAGGTACACTTTATAGAAAGTGCATAAAAACAATTTGCTTATCAAACAATGCTTAAAAGCAGTTATCATAAAAGTAATTTAAATTTTAGAAGTTTTTTATGCTATTTTGTTTTGAATTAATTGGTTAGAAACTTTTAAAGATGTACATTAACAAGTTGAATTGTCTTAAGTTTAAACATATATCAAATTAACATATAGCTTTGTACTAATTATCATGGATCAAATTAATAAAGTTTTGTCTTCCCCTATCTCCCCCTTTTTTTCAGAAAAGCAAAAGACAGAGTAATAAAAAAGAAGAAAAAAGCTAACAATGAGCCTAAAATAAAGGAAGTGTAAGTTATTTTGGATATTTGATTTTTTTTATTCCTATGAAGTATTAAGTCGTAAACGTTATTAAGCATGTCTTAACCTCTTCTAACTACTTTGGAAGTAAATTCTTATTTAATACTTTTATTGTTATTGCTTGAAAAAGGGAGGAAGTTGTTAACATGTTTTTAATAACTCATTAATCTTTTGAGACGTAATAAAAGTTCATGTATACTGAGCTGCTAATTATCTATGCAGTTGTACCTTCCTGATATACCCAAGAAGTGTTTTTAGACTGATATTTGAAGAAAAGATTAAAAATTAAATGTTTTTAGGTGAACTGTGTGATAATTTTTTATGTAGGAGACCTCATCACACTATACTTGGATTTAATTATAATTTAATGGAATTTAATACAGTCAAAAGTCGTTAATCCGGACTCGTCAGGACTTCGGCGATTCCGGATTATCGATTTTTCCAGATTATAGACCATCAGTTTAAATCTGGTAAGATGGCATGCAGAAATTATAAAATTAAAAATATGAAACCATAATTTATGAAATATAGAACAATTATGATCTAAAGGGTATCAAAATTTACAAAAAAAAAAAGCTTAATATTGATTTGTTTACTTTATTAAACATTTCTTTCAATGTAAGTTGTTTAAGTTGCTTCGTTATATGTGATAATACTTTCTCTTTAATTCTATAAACAGACATAATTTCTTGTTCAGTTACAAAGTTCCGCTGTTGAAGTCCTATAATTGCTGTGTCGAGAATACCAACTAGTTGGTCAATCAAAAATTTTTCGTTTTCAATTACCTCTGTGTCACTTTCTTCACTATCGGAAGCAAATTATAATGATGAGGAATTTGATTTAAATCATATCAAAGACAGAATACATTGAGATGAAATAATACATTTAGTAAGGAATTAAAAGCCAAATAAAATGAAAACATCTGCCCTGAAGATAAGGCAGAGTCATAGGTAGGGTTTTCAGCGCCCAGGGATAACTGAAGATTTCGCACCCCCTACTGCTGCCAAGTATGGAAAACATTTAATTCTAAAATGTCATAGCATCAGTTTGGCGCCCCTTGGATTCTGCGCCCGGGGACAGATGCCCCCCTCTAGCTATGCCCCTGAGATAAGGATAGTGCTGACAGATCAATTTCCAATTCATGTCGTGCCGCGGCGTCACCGCAGAGCAGCGTGAAATTGATAAACAGATTTCGGAATGGTTAGAGAAACAAAGGATATGAATTTATCCATTTTTTGCAGAAATTCCACTTTTTCTTTAATGAACTTCGAAACATACTTTTGCTTTGTAGATCTTCTACATATTAGTAAATCTATATCGGAAATTCTTTTTGACATAATCGAAAGTTCAAGCTTACTTGTATAAAATTGTAAAAGTAAACTTGAGCTTTTTATAAAACAGTCTGCAAAAAAATAAAAATAAGCCGGTTCCAATTCGAAAATTAAGGAACAACGCAATCTGCAACATTAACTGAATTAGATAATTTTAGCTTAGCTTATACATTAAACGTGCATGCATAAACGTATTTTGCGCACACGCATATTCGCAGCCGTAAAGGTCAACTCGACGCATGCGCAGAAAATTTGTAGCTTTGAGGTCCGGATTATAGATCATTCCGGATTATGGGTGTCCGAATTAACGACTTTTGACTGTACTAGTTTATGGCTAAGGAAGAAAACTGCTGCCATATAGTGGGAAGATTCTGCAGATGAAGAAGTGATAACCATATACATCATTCAGATATTCAAGAATTCAAAACTGAAAGAAATAAGCTTGGAAGTATGCAGAGCCAGATTTAGACTTAATAAGGGTCCTAAGCTGTTTGAGATTATGGGGCCGTTTATAAGTCTGTTATACTATGTTTATATTATATTTTAATTTTTTTTTTGGGGGGGGGAGTCCTAAGCAATAGATTATGTAGCTTATACATAAATCTTGCACTGGAAGTATGTAAGGTGGAATGGTAGCTATAGAATTTTATAATGCTGATAGGCTTGATGCAGTGATTCTTGAAGAGTTAGCAGAAGAGTGTAAAGGGAATGATGAAGGTAAAATTCCAAAGATGGCTTTGCTGATGTAGTGGTTAACAAGTGATCAGCAGCTGGAGAGAATGATTGTGTAATAAACTTACAAATGAAACTGTTAAAGCCTCCATTTTGGTTAACACTTGAAAAGTGGATTAGTTTGTATCATTGTGGGGGGGGAAGAAGAGAAGGAAAGAGGATAAATTTCGAGCTACTTCTGCAAATGTAAAAAAGCAATGCAGTGCAAGAATCATTGTTTTAATTTTAAGGAAATTGTAAATAAAAAGAGGCACTGAATAAAAGGGACTTTACAGTATGTGTTTTTGTTTTACTGCTATTTACAATGGAAAGAAATTAGGTCTTGTGAACTACAAAAACAGGCATTTTAATTATGTTCAAATTATAATGAATTAATTGTCAGAGTTATGTAGGAGAACAATTTTCGGTACTCTTCTGTTATCAGGACTAGATTCAGAACTGTATGTATGCACGTGAGTACGCAAATATATACACACACATACGATAGATAGGAACATATATACATGCAAGCATAAACACATCCATATGTACATACATGCATTTCTAAATCTGGTCCTGATAACAGAAGAGTATCCAATTTTGGATAAGAAATGGTGACACAGCACAGATAAAGATTTTTTTCACTATGCTTCTAAAATATTTACATTTGAAAGTAAGCAAAAGACTTTTATGCTGAATAATAATTCAGTTTGATATATGATTTTGAACCACAAATATATCATTATCTTTCATTCAGAATAACATATAAATAAGGACAGTCAAAAGTCTTTAATCCAGACATCCATAATTTGGAATGATCTATAATCCAGACCACAAAGCTAATAACTTTCTGCGCATGCGTAAACGCGTGTGCATAATATTTTTATGCATGCGCATATGCATTTACACATGCTCATAATATGTTTACGCATGCACGTTTAATGTATAACGCATGATATAAGCTAAGCTAAAATTATCTAATTATCTATTTCAGTTAATGTTGCAGATTGCGTTGTTCCTTAATCTTCTAATTGGATCCGACTTATTATTTTTTGCAGACTGTTAGAGCAGTTTTATAAAAGTAAGCTTGAACTTTTGATTATGTCAAAAAGAATTTCCAATTGTGGAGCTGCCAAAGGATCTACAAAGGAAAAGCATGTTTTGATGTCCATCAAACAAAAAGTGGAATTGCTGCAAAAAATGGATAAAGGCATATCCTTTGTTTCTCTAACCATTCCAAAATCTGTTATCAATTTCACGCTGCTCTGCGGGAAAGGGGGGGACATTGCGGCGCGCAATGAACTGGAAATTGATCTGTCAGCACTATCGTTATCTTCAGGGCAGATGTTTTTATTTTATTCGGCTTATAATTCCTTACTAAATGTAGTATTTCATCTCGATGTACTCCGTCTTTGATATGATTTAAATCAAATTCCTCCTCATTATAAATGTCACGAATACACATCAAATAGTTTTCTGGTTGCAATTTTCTAATTTCGACTATGCGTAATGTATGCTTTATGCATGCGCATGTTGAAAGAAATGTTTAATAAACGAATAAATATTAAGCTTTTTTTTTGTAAATTTTGATACCCTTTAGATCATACTTGCTCTTTCTTTCATAAATTACGGTTTCATAGTTTTAATTTTATAATTTCTGCATGCCATCTTACCAGATTTAAATTGATGATCTATAATCTGGAATCGCCGAAGTCCCGACGAGTCCAGATTAAAAACTTTTGACTGTATACACATGATGCAAACTCTTGAAATTTTTAAAAACTCGTTTTCCCCTGCAAAATTTGTTCTTAGTTAATGAAAAACAAACGGGCCTGACATTTTATTATTATTATTGTTTTTTAAGAAACTCACCTATTTAATGTTTCAGTGCTGCTGTATTGTTTGACATCTGCTGTTTAGTACTACATTTGAATATTTTAAACTGTATTTTTATCAACTTTTTCTTATCTATTAGTTATTAACAAAAATAAGCTAAAACACGCTAGAAAGAATTCTGGGTTAGAGTAGACTCAAGTATACCCCTTATATTATCTCAAAGTTGTTATTTCATTTATCGCCAAGTTGTGTTTCATTTATGGAAACCTGAGTAGTTGAATGTTCATTAAATATACTTTTACCTAGAATTGTGTACTCCTTTGACTTTTAAAGTGAAAATATATCAATGTGTACATGGACATAGTTGAGGGAGTGCGCAATATCAAGTTTATACAATTATCTGATTTTTTTTAAGTGAAAATAGGTCGACGTGTACATGGATAAAGTCAAAGAATTGTATAAACTCAGTATCCATGTACCCTCCACAAATCACCAATTTTTGCCGTAAATATACTTTTACCAAATTTTTTTTAACAAAATTAAAAATTTTTCTCGCTAAGTAATTTTTAAAATATCCATAAACAATAATTCTAATCTTTGAAAAGAAAGAAATTAAAACTTATATGTATTTTTTATCTGAAATCCAAATTTTGGTACCTGCAAGATTTTTTTTTTTTTTTTTTTTTTTTTTTTTGTTACAGTTTGTAATACAAATATCTTGACCATTAAATACTAAAATTTCAGACTAACACTTATGTCACATTCTTGCCACTAGATGGCGGGCATCTCTTCCTTTACTTTTGCTGTAACTGAGTTCCAAGAACGAGGCTAGATTGGAACCGCTCTGAGGAGCGTAAAGACGGAACTTCAGAGAAAAATAATTAAAATGCACTGTCTTAAAATAATTCTACTTTGTAAATAGTGTATGTAAGTGTCTTATTTGAATAAATAAGAAAAAGACAAGATGGCCTGTTGATTCTAATAGAAACTCTTACTTGAAAACGTGATTATTAGAAGCCTGGCGTCGAGAACACTGAAGATGCAGCAGGTAAGGAATTTTACATTAATTTTATTGTAAATAAAAGAACCTGATGCAACAACTTAGATTAGCA